ATTATTTGCTATGGATTTCAAAATTTTCGGAGTTAAAAATGGCTGATTTTGGGCCCAGAGCAAAGTTTGGAAGCTCCTGGAAAATTTTGGAAAATAGATACGGTGTTCAAAACTATGTGATTATATTCTTCATGTAGAGAAAACAAAGGGTAGAAATCACAGATCTGATACTTTCCCCCTCCCATTGGTTTCTGAAGGTCAAAAATAGCGTTTTTCCCAAAATCAATGGGTAAGTTTCAAGCTTAATTACACCTAGAGGAAGTGAGTTGAGTAAAACTTTGTAATGATATGATTTGTTGGCCATATCATGAGGAACAAATTGGTTTTTCATTGGAGTCTCTAGCTGCAATAGTTATCAAGATACAGAAGATAACGCAAACCTCCATTTGAGCCAAAAACGCGTTTTTTCGCATTATAAAAATGGCTGTACTGGGAGAACCGAGCGGATTACAATTTTTTTTTAAATATTTTTGAGGTGTGAAAATATGTAGAAATAAGTGTACAAATTTTGAATTTTTTTAAAAATGGTGAGCGATCTCTCTGGATGATTTCACACGGAATGTGTAAGTGATGAAGACACAGTGTCTGGATTGGTAACTGGATTTATTTACCACTTATGAATCGTAAGTACCAAGTAATTATAACACTCTCACTAATTCACGCACTCTACTTCTCAGTACAGTACATGCCAGGTCTTCTATGTCTTCACTTGTCATTGCCTGGTAACAGATCCCAACAATGTCATTTGCTTTTGTCCCTACTGACTAGCAACTGTCTCATGATCAACTGTCCACTCTCAACTCATGACTGCAACTCACAACTTTCTAGCCATGACTATTCACTCACTGGCTATCCGTGCCTGTTAACTCAAAGTCACATTGCGACTGACGGTGAGTCAGTCAGTCAGCCTTGGTATCGAGCCCAATCTGGGGCTCATGACCAGATATTTATGGATGTTAACTGCCTGCCTGGTCTGGTTATATGGCCTCAGCACAGACCACAGAGAAAACACCCTATCACAATCATCATTTACTGGTCATTACATAGCAACAGCTCCTTGTTTAATGACATCAAGTGTTTACTGTGCCATTGCCTAGCAACAGATGACATCTCCTGTTAAGCTATCTGATCATGTATCAGTATTATTTTAATGTAACTGTGTTACGAGTACGATGCTCCAGCCGGAACTACGTTTGAAAAGCCTCGGTGATCTGGCAACACTGCCTTGGGAGACGCTTGGCAGTCCTGTATACGTGGCCCACCCCTTTACATCTGCGGGGGGAGGGGGGCAGCAGTGGATGCGAGTAGTGATAGCCAGACAAGTTGTTGGTTGTTGGTAACGAGAAACTTGAGAGAGAGAGGCCATGGAGGCTCCTCTGGCAGCGGGATGTCGCGGTACAAGGAACCGCAGGAACAGCCGGCAGGGAGTTGAAGGCGCCCCAGTGGGCCCTATCTTGAGGAACCAGGTGGGAGGTTCGAACTTGGGCCAACGAATCGTAAGTAGCGGAATTCGGGCTTACCCAACCATTTGACCCTACTCAGGTTGGGGGAGGCCCCATACCTTGCCAAATTAAGTTCCAAAAACAAAACTTAAACAAAGGATATGGCGGAACGAAAGAGTTTGTCCCCACCGGTGTGTACTGATGTAGTGAGGACCCTCCAATAGGTCCATAGTATTTTCTTTATTGTACACCAGAAATAAATACTACTGTATTATGTGATCACTAGGGACCGAATTTTAATGCAAATGCATATTTCTTTCTTGCAACCAGAAAGTATGCTCATTTGGATATATGTATGAATGGCTTCATTTCTTAAATTTTAGACATGGTTTGATGGTGCATATAAATGCATATTTTGCCTGTTTTATGAATAAGCACCATATTTTCGAAGATCTCTATTTATACTGCATATTTCCTTTTTAAAATGTTTCTCATACACATTTTTTAATTTTATGTTCAAGTTTTCAGTCATGGTTGTGTGTATACAATTTTTCTTTTCCATATGTTGCATATTTACTTCAACATTTCGTCATGATTAATGTTTCTGATGCAATACCCAGGACGGGACTTCCCCGATCCCTCTACTCATAACTTGCCTCATCCGCGAATTTTTTATCAATTCCATGAATTTACTATGGCCGAATGGCATTCAGTATGAGCACGTATTGCTCTTTGTGACTGATGCCGCAAATTACACTCATATGATGAAAGCCAGTACTGCTCTTAAAGTTATATTTCCAAATATAACACATTTGACTTGCCTTGCCCATGGGTTGCTCCATGTTACAGAAACAAATCGTACAAATTTTCCGCTTGTTGACAAGTCGGTGTCTTCTGTGAAGAAGGTATTTGTTAAAGCGCCATACAGAAAAGAAACCTTTAAAGCAGTAGCACCGAGCG